TAAATACCATGTACGAGAAATGTCTAGTACAAGATAATTATCAACAACGATAATTTCACTGATTATCGATAACGATGTTCGATAACGTTGTTCAATGTGATCTAATTAATTGAATTAAAATGTGAGTCTAAAAATTATCTTGAAAAATTGTTGAGTAGTTTTCAGGAACACCTTTTTTTTTGTTATTAAATATACGATATCGCCCTGCACTATATCAATTATTTCTTTTCCCTTGGGATTTGACTACAGTTTAATGCTAATTATCATCATTATTTTTTATATTAAAATCTGATATCGTTCAGCACTATTTAAATATTTTATCTTTCTCTTGGAAATAGGTTGAAACAGATAAAATTAAGCGACAACGGTTTATCATATAGCATCGATATTTTCAAACAATATATCGCTATATTTAAATTCTGATATTGTCTAACTCTAGCTATATCATTTTCTCTCTGAATTTGGCTATAATTAAAAGTTTAAACCAACTATCGTTTATTATAATGTCATACAGCATCGATATTTTCTAACGATATAGTGCGATATTAAAATTCCGATATGGCCCTGCTGTAGCCAGATCATTTTTATCTAAAACTAAATATCTATGCATTATAACATTTAGTGTACATATTTTAAAATCGATTCCCGAAATATCGCTGTTTCTAAGTTCCGATGTCGCCCAGTAATAGTTATATCATTTTATCTCTTGGAATTAGTCTATAATTGATAAAATTTCGCGAATATTCTTCGCTTATTTTTCCACTTCTTCACTTTACTTCATGAAATAGATCATCGTTTCGTCATCGCGCTGAGTAATTTTTCGTTACTGTCGCTGTCGTAAGAGAAGGAAGATCCGGAAATTTACGCGAGCAAGAGATATTGATAAACGATTTTTCTTCCTCTAAAAGGCATCATTAAAATAATATGGAAAGAGAGAAAGAAAAAAAAAAGGAAAACCCTCACTCTTTCTCTCTTTTCCCTTCTAGGTCTAAAATTCAAGCATATTTATCACCGACTTTACCACCGCTAATTCTTAATAATTACTACATAATATTCGAGGTGGAATATATTATATTAAAAATATTTTCTTTTTTTAAAAAAAAAACTGGTAAATGCGAAATCCTACCAGAACCCCAAGTCTTCCCCTGTCAATAGTGGTAGAGGTTTTCCCCCCATTCTGTTGGTAACCCCTAGCAACGAAACACGCCCAAATAGATTGAAGGGATTGAAGAGGAAGGGATGCTCAAGATCTGATCGAGATCTAGGATGATGCACTCCCTCATCGGGGGTGGGGGTGGGATAAATTGTCGTCCGGCGCCTTTCTGGCGTAATTCTATGTCTAGCTTGGGTTTCCAGAAATTTAGAATTCCTGAACACAATTCTTCCCCACACTATACTACCACCGCCACTCAGTTACCCAGTTTACACAACGGTTTGGGTTACGCTAATGTGTTTTCCCTTTGTGCAGAGTTAGGGAGGGAAGTGTGTGGGTGGGGGTCAGTTTTCTGTCCGTGTTTGATCGTGGACTTTGGCCAGCGATCTCCTTCGTGGTGTCAGTTTACGGATGAGTGTCTTCTAGCTCTGTATGGGGAAGTTTTGATAGAAGTGCTTGATTTTTATTTTTAGTTTTTCAATTTTTTTGTTTCTAGTGAAAAATTGAGTTTGAGGAGTTTCTACTCTATTTTGTGGTTATCGCTTGCTTGAGGTTTAGGAGAAATGAAGTAAAAAATGTCGCGGAAAATAGATTCTGGTGCTTTTTCTAAAATGTCCTTTTTTATTTTATTTTTTATAAAAATGGCGACAATTTGATTGATCTGGTATAAAGACAGTTTTACTGAAGTAATTTAATACTGCTTCTCCCCTTTAAAGTTTAATATTTAAATTAAATATGTCTGAAAAGTTTACATACTTAATTCGGTAAATTACGACAGAATATCAAATCAGACTGCAATTTCTGAGCTCAATGTTCTTTCCTTTCTTTTTCCCAATGGACTTCAAATGTATAGATTTAGGGTTTTATTAAGTGATTAGGGTTTCACTAATGTAATATAATATTAAACTCTTCCTTCCTTTAATATTTAAGTTAATAATTTTTAAAAAATTGCTTATTTTGTTTAACAAGGGAAAATATCGACAAGTAAGGCTATAAATTATCTTCCAACTCCTGAATGTTTTTTTCAAGAAAGATTTTTAGTGATGACAAAGTTATTGATCTGGAATATGTAAAGAGTTTTACTAAAATAATTTAATATTGTTTTGTTGTTTTCGTACGTTTAGCTTAAATTAAGGGTAGATGATCAAATTATGTTATAAATAAAGCACTAAGCGATATAAAATTAACTCTTTTTTTGTTTGTTAATATTTCATATTTACTATTACTGGATAGCATAGAATTAATTAATGCAAGCTGGCAGCAATAGTTTATGTGACTTTAATTCAATGATATATAAATAATTTCAAAATAAATCCAATTGCTAAATTATTAATTTTGTATTTATTTACAATTGTGTTAAAGTCACAAATTTTGTATTGCTCTCATAATTTTCTTATATGGTTTTTGTTCCACTGTAAGTACCACAAGCCTCAGATACTTAAGTTAGATTATCTTTTTTTCTTTCTTTTTTTCCCCTCTCATTGTATGTGATTTTGTCTTGCATTAAACACAATTTCTCCCATGTTTCATTTTATTTCCGTGAAATTTTTTATTTTGACTCCAGCCTTCCAAATTTTTCATTTAATCTAATTTATTATGTGATAAAAGTCAAATTTAGTTATTAAATAAAAATGAAATAATCATTTATAACACTATTAATTAACTTGGCAAAAGTAAATAACAGAAAAATGCAATGTTATTTTTTTCTAATTATTACATCTTAATAAATTATAATTAATCATATTATTTCATTTCATTTTATATTAAAGCTTATGTTTCTTTTTTTCTTTTTCTTTTTTTTTTATTAATTTTCCCCTAGTAAAAATCTTTTGAGCTTAAATCTGGATTATTAGGATTCCACAAGCAGTAAGTGATATCAAAGTGGGAAAAATTTTATTCACATAGACAGGTTGATCCACTTGAAAAAATTTGCTGTTGAGACTTACATTTAACAACTTCTTCTGTTTTGAGCAGTTTAGCAGTTTTTGATTATTATTTACAAATTAAATTAATTTTTTTGGTATGTTTTTGATTTTTATTATCTGTTTAAATTAAACATTAAGTACAAGCATTGTCAAATCTGGAAGGAAAAAAAATGCTGTAACTTGAAAGAAAATTATTTTTTAAGAAATTTAAATGATAATTAAACTTTTGGGTCATAAATAAAATAGAAAGTAATATCTTCAACTTTCTGGATTTCCTTTTTCTGGAAATTTTGTTAATTTTTACAAAAATCTTGTGCATATCCAAATGAAGTCTGTTTAAGGATTTAGCTTCCTTGTTAAGTATGTTTAGTGTTGAAAAGAAATTTTTAAGGCTATTGTATCCTGTTCCCATATTGTTATAAGGTACCCAATGAAAGCTTAGGAAGATTTTTTTAACTCGACAAGTGAAACAGTAATTTTCATTTAAAAATAACTCCATTCAGTGATTTTATTTGTTTTCTTCTTTTCTAAATTTACTCTATATCATAAACATCATCACTTTTAATTTAAAGGTAGTTTTTATTACCTTCAATTATTTTGACCACTTTACTTTCAATTTTTTGTTAATAATTTTTAAAGTGATTAACTTAATTGATATGTTAGCATGCTATATCCCTCCTCCCTCCAAAAAATATAAATAAATAAATGATTTGTTACTCAAAATTAAAGAATAAGGGAATACTTAAGCATAATGTTATTCTTGACAGATGCTAATCGCATCATCCATTGGTTGTGCACGTGTTATAGATACATCAATTCTATTATTCGAACAGCTTAACTGATTGTAGGTTCTACTGCTGTCTATCTATATTTGAAAATATGACTTTATTATACCTGGGCAATGTTGAAATGGTAGTAAGACGAGTATACTGGACAGTGACACTTAACTTTAAAAAAAAAAAATCAGTGTAGGGTATACCAGACAAAGCAGTAACACTTTAATCCCAAAATAAAAACATCATTCTAGGCATGTAGGATATATTGGGCAGTGCCACTAAACCTTTAAAAAAAAAAAAAAAAAAAAGTCATTAGTGTAGAGCAGTGTTTCCCAAAGTGTGGTACGCGTACCTCCAGGGGTACGGGAACAGTTTAACGGGGGTAAGCGTTCTTATCAAAATATCTTGTAACAAACGAAAGTTTTATTTAAAAACAAACCTAGCCATGAAAATTTACTATTACGTATTTTTCTATTGGCTATTTTTTGCAGTGTTAACAGTTAATAATTAGTGGTGTCAACAGCGGGGTTGTGATTTTTAACTTTTCTGCAATTTTTTTATAGTAAAAAGTACATTCAGTTTTTTATTAGTGGTACGCAGCATGACGAAAAATTTAGAAAGGGTACACAAAAGTCATAAGTTTGGGAAACACTGGTGTAGAGTATACCTGGCAATCAATGGCCTTCCCCCCTCCTTGTTCTGTTGCACCCAACTAGCTAGTGAAAAACTGCGCATATGCTAAGAAGAAAGAGGTGTGATTAGCCACTGTGCTTTTTTTTTAAAGTTTTATTTATTTTTTATCCATTTCAAATAGATTGGATAAATTTTATAAAATTTGAATTGCATAATATTGTTAATCTTGGATGAACAAGCACGGCACATTATTTGATGTCATTATTATTTATGACATGATTTTTAATATTAAAAAAATGTAGTTTTTAACGAAGCATAAACAAGGCATATAAGTGAATTTTTTTTATCTCTATAGCGTTATGCATTTTCATTCAGAATTGTTCTTATTTATCAATTACCTGTTAATTATTTTGCTTTTACTAAAATAGTTTTATTACAACGTCACTGATAATATTTAAAAAATGTATTGTTTGAAGAAAAAAAAGCTACAATCAGCATCTTTTTGTATTTCAGGTAGAATCGAAACAACACAATGTCGCTTTCTCTGACGGTCAGCATTGTGGACAAAAATGTCACCAAAACCATGCAGTTCGATCCGTCCACACAAGTATACGATGCTTGTCGAATTATACGAGAAAAATCCTCAGAAGGAGGCGAATCAGGACTAGGAGAATGTAAGTATTATCTCGTATTTCTTGATGTTCATATGCTTGTGAACATACTATTTTACTATTATTTTTGTTCTTGATCTTAAGACATTTTTCTGTTGAGACAGAATCTGTTAATGTAGCTGACAATCAAATATTCTGTCTCTTTTTCAAACTTTCCTAATTACACTGAGGAACAATATATGTATTTTTTTGTTGCATGAAATTTGTAACAGATCTTAGATATTTTGGTATCGCTGATTTCAAATCTGCTAGCTACAATTTTTTTTTAATGACATTTTTAGCCTACTTTTTATTGAAGTGTAAAAGTTTAAGAATGATATATTTATATAACATAGAGTTACGTAAATGTTGCTGCAAACTTCTAGGGGAGTTAGGGACATTATTATTTTTATTTTATAACTGTCATTAAAAAGCCGACCCAATTTTGTGTTTACAACTGCTAATGTTCAACTCCTGAAACAATACCCCCAGAGATATGATTTGCTATGGGAACATGGTGGATTTTGTGACTTGACAGATTTAATGTGCGTCACCATTTACTACACGGGGAGTCTTCGACCAGCAGGATCGAACCCACAATCTCTCGTACGTGGGACCAGTGCCCTACCAACCAGGCTATCCCAGCCTAGAGCACATTATTAGGATTAAAATTGTATAGGAACTCATACCTGTAAGTGTTGTCATGCTCCGATTGGTGTGATTTTCTATTATAAGTTATTTCTTTGTGCTCTTCTGAACAAGTCATAATGGGGAAGCATCCCAGAAGTGTATGATGACATGGGTTTCCTATACAATTTCAATCCTTATGAAATTGTATAACCCTGATGAAATTTCCTTTATTCCCCTAAACGATTTTGAAACATTTGCATGACCCCTTGTTATATATAATGTTTTTAACTTGTACATTTCGACAAAAATGTCCTTTTGAAAAATTTGGTATCTTTAGGAGCTTATTTCAGATTTGAAATCTTCACACCGGAATTAAGCAAGATCAAATATTTGTCTAAATGTAACAAAAACTTTGTTCCCCAGTGTTATTTAATAACACATACCTGCCAAGTCTCCTGTTTTTTTAACGAAGACTCCTGTATTTTAAGACTATCTCCTGTTTATCCGTATATTCTCACATTTTTCCATATTTGTTGAAGAAATTTTTAAAAAAAATTTTGGACGATAATATATACATTGATGGCAAAAATACTTCTCTCAATAGATGGTGCTATTGCCACTACTGCAGTATCTTGAGTGTTTATAGTTTAAATAATTATAAATAATGGTTTGAAAAATCTTCTTTAGAATAAGATTTATATACAAATCTTTTATTTCGCTATATGTAAGTGCTTATATTATTTTCAATTTTACTTACATGATTATGCATAATGTGATGCATCAGAACGTGTAGCCTACAAAATGTCGCTAGTAAAATCTCTGTTACTTTATTTCTCCAATGATGGAAGGTATGATAACATGATATTGACCATGAGAGTGTAATTATTGAATTGATTACATAATTTCAAAGCATAGAAATATCACTCAATGGTGGTTTTATCTACTGGATTTTACCTATTTCTCATGGTTTAATTAAAAATTCTTCTAGTTTTACCATTGTTTAGAATTTATTTTTTGAAATTTAGAATGATAACTAATGTGATCATATATTTTTCTCAATCTTCAGATTGAATATTAGGGGGATTTGGACCTTTGATTATTATTTTGTTGACCACTCATTTTTTTTACAACTTTATTATGTCATGTAAAATATGCTCCAATAAAGCTGTAATTTCATGTTTTAAATGCTTTTAGAATTTACCTATATAGTAAGATAAACAAAAGGAAGGATAAAAACAAGTCTTTAACCAAAATTCGCTGGCATTTAATATCAACTTTTAACTGGTTAATTTTTTTCATATCTTTTTCCTCCAACTTTGCATCATACTTCATAAATAATAATATTTTTATGTAAAAATGTTTTTATTTGCTCTAAAAATTTTGAAAAAAGTGTGCACATGGAATAAAAATTATTTAAAACATTTTGGTATCATTTTTTTTATGATTTGTTTTTCACCCAATAGCAATAGGGGGAATTTTTATTTATGTATTTTTTTGATCTTGTTAGGATAATGTTTAATGTGATTATCGCAACAGTAATTTTTTAATTCATTATAGTTAGTTATGAAAGTAACATCAGCGTCTAGGTTTTTCTGAGAGAGGTACCTATTTTGTGATAATTTAGACATAATTTGTGAAAATTAAGAATTATATTAAAAAATTAACACAAAAATATGGATTTATCGTTTCTTACGGGATACAAAAATAAAATTTTAAGAAGAAGTATTTTGTGAAACTACCGTTTTTTCTGAAGTTGAATTTGTGAAGGTACTGCTAAACGGTAGTAAATTTGGTCTGGACAGACCCTACATATACCAAATGTGAAAAATTTGTTTTATTTGTATTATTGTCAATCAGCAGTTTACTTAAGTAACAGGTTTGAAGCAGTATTTAAATTTGCTACTTGCAGTAACCTCATTATTTTTATGACTTTCAACCTTCATCAATTTTTTCAATTAGTTTTAATCAATTTCATTGACTTGAGCGAAACTGATTTTCTGTTTGGGTAAGAATGCTTCTGGAAATGCCCACTTTTATTAAGTGCAAACCAAAAAAGGGTTAGATGAAGTATCTTGAATATAATTATTGCTTTGTTAAACTAGCTAGTGCCCAATTTAGTTCCTAGTTATAGCTGTTTTGCTTATAACATTATTTGTAATTGTCTTAATAACTAATTTTATTATAAAATCTCAAAATTTCCATAAGTTTTATTGTTTACATGACTTCTGTTTTTAGTATTAGTTATCCATTTTAACTTCAACTGTGATTTTTTATCTGACTGGAGTACAGTTTTATGTTTTATTTACAAATTTATCTTTTTTATTCTTTATATTTTTTAATTTATATTTTAGTTCATATATCTATATACTTCGTAAATTCAAGGAAACATATTGATTTATTTTCATGATCAAATTCTAAGGTGCGTGCTAGAAAAATCATTTAATTAAATTAAAGAAATCTGAAATCTATTTCGAGAAAATCACGCTTTACATTTGAAGCTTTTATTAATAATTTATTTTGATCATCTTTGAATACAAGTTTCCATTCCTTAAATTTGCATTTAAATGAAGAAAAATGCGGAAGGTAGGAATAAGTTGAATTCACAAGTATGTTAGAAATGAATTGTTTTTCATTTTATCTATCTTTTATATATAGATACCTTTTTCTGTGTTTGCCTTATCGATTATAATTTTTCACACCAAAAAAATTTCATTTTCAATTTAATAAGTTAATTTAAACTCTGCTAGAAATGAATTATATATATATTTTTTTTAAAAAAAATGTCTCTTCTATCTTCAATAACAAAAGATAGTATTGCTTTTACTGATCTGATTTTAAGAGAAAAGTTAATCAAATCTTATGCATTTTTTGCAATTCAATTATTTTTTTTGATAAGCATTTATTTATTGATATTTATTCTAGGAGTTACCTTTTGTTTATTTCTTTTAATGATGTTAATTACTTTTGTTTTTCTTCCTGGATTCCTTTTTTCATTCATTAAGATAATGAATTTCATTAATTTAAAATGGCGATTTTGTTAAAAAGATAATGCTCTGTAATTGAGTTTCATATGTGATTTAATTAATACTTTTTTTTTAAGGAAAGTCTGTACCTATTTGCATTGTTTTTCTTTTTTAAATTATTAATAAAAATTTTATTTTATACTTTTTTTCCTTTTTTTATTTTCTCTATTTATATACATAACTCAGGGCTGTTTTGTGTGATAGTTTTTGTCTATTTATAAATATTATTGGCATCTTAAAATTGCATTACCTGTCCTTTAATGTTCTTGTTTTGATTGTCATTTCAAAAATTAATTTTCATTTATCAAAACAACCCTGACTTTACATAATCCTCATTTATTAACCAAAAAGTAAATAAATAATGATATTAATAGTTCATAGCTGAACTGGGATTTAAAAAAATACATATTATTAGGTTTAAGATCAAAATAGTTATTTTGTTTTCATTATTTTCTTAAATGTGGAAAAGAATAGTTTTCTTTATTTCTTTTCTTCAAAAAAATTGGAATGTAATAAATCTCATTGCAAACTTGTAGTAAATATTGGATTTAATTTTTAAAAAAATCCTAATTACAATTATAGGTAGTGTAAAATACCTTCTCCTAAACTGCTGCAAAGCTACAAAAAGTGTTAATTATAGTTATTACATAAATGCAATTTGATGTATTGAAATTTATTGCAAATGCAACTTGTATTGAGATATACTTAAAATTAGATAGTAACTGTAGAAATGTTTAATGAAATAAACTGATTATCTTTTTTAAGTTATAAAACTAAATGATTTTAAATATTTTTTTTTGCTATTATATGCCATTCAAAATGTTTTACAAACAAATAAAAGGTTAGCCAATGATTGCGGTTGTATTTTTGATATTGTTTACTTTAAAATTTTTCATTTAATCAAACATTTATTTTATTTTCAGCAAAAAATTATGGGCTATTTTTAGCAGATGAAGATCCAAAAAAAGGAGTTTGGTTAGAACCAGGAAGATCTCTAGAATATTATTTATTAAGGAATGGGGTAAGAGCCCTTTTTTAATTCATTACTGTTTAAAATTTTGCTTCTGTCAAAATTATTAAAGGATATGCATCATATTAGATTCTTCCTGTTTTCTTTTCTATTTTCTTCTTCTTTTTTTGTATTTATTTTTTAAAAAATGAGTGTAGAGCCCAAACAAGAATTATAAATAATAAAACAAGACATTTTGAGACTTCTTAGGAAAATGCATAACTTTGGATCCCTTTAGATTTTTGCCTCATTTACAGAAATCAATTATATAATTTTTTTGGAATTTCATTCCTGAAAAAATTTATAAAAATTTTATTGATTACCTTAATTTTTTTAATTTTTACCAGTTATATGTCACGTACACTGACTTTAGAGGTTTGTAATTTTGGGTTTGAATTTATCTTATTTTCTATAATTTAGATTTTGAGCCGCAGTGACTCAGGGTATAGAGCGTTTACATCTTAATAATGTGACGCAGGTTCGAATACCAGCCGTGGCTGTTGATTCAAATTCTCCCCCTGGCTCGCACCGATCACAGTGTGAATGTAAAATATCCTTAGTGATAGACGGATCATGAGTTAGATTCCCCTTGTTTTCAGGCTAACCAGGGGAGGTTTCCGTGTTTTTCTTCTCCATGTATAGCAAATGCGAGTTAGTTCCATGAAAAAGTCCTCCACAAAAGCAAATTTCTCCCAATACTTGATCCAGAAGTTCCTTTGTCTTCTGTGATGGGATAGGGGATCCTCCTAGAATTCCTGAAAAGCAGAACCCTGGGAAAATATCTCACTTTCCACTCCATAGTGAATATTCTGTAAGTGCGAACAATATAAGCAGGGAAATCTGTAATACACTACATTATTTGTAAAAATTTTATGTATCTTTTACAAGTAACATTAAAAAAATTACTATGTCAAAAAAGAAAAGAAAAATGAACAAAAACTTACATTGAGATGAAAATTTTTTCACTTTTATTTTCTTAGTGAAAAACAAACAAATATTTTAAAATATAGCTGAGAATTTTTATATTTGTAACAAAATATTACCTGTCTATAACATATTTTAATAATTCTTATGAGTAAAAAAATATTTATTAGAAATAAGTAATGGCTTGATTAAAAAGAAATTTCAGAATAATGTCAAATACAAAATGAAAAAAAAAAAAAAACCTCTTTTTTTTTTTTTTTTTTTTTTTTTTTTTTTTTTTTTTTTTTTTTTTTTTTTTTTTTTTTTTTTTTTTTTTTTTTTTT